ACAGTGGACGCTTTTACAAAGTACGTATTACTTCGCTACACTAATGACAAAAGCCAATACAGCACTCTTGCAGCCCTAAAGCAGGTGGTTCACCTGTTTGGAGCTCCAGGGCAAGTCATCGTAGATGGTGGGCGTGAATTTTTAGGTGAATACAAAAGTTACTGTGACAGGTTTGGTATAGAAATACACTCTATATCGCCAGGCATTTGCAGAGCCAACGGACAAGTGGAGCGAGTGATGGCAACATTAAAAAATGGACTTATCATGATAAAGAACTATGAGACTCCAAACTGGCACACTGCACTAGAAAGTCTACAACTCGCACTTAACTGCACCGTTCATAAAACTACAGGTGCATCTCCACTGACTCTATTAACTCGACGTCAAAACTGTGTCCCTTCCGAGTTGCTTAACTTAGTGGACCTCGAAAATGAACAGATTGACATCGAAGCGCTTGAACGACACGTTCAACGAAAAATTACTGACTCTTCCACTAAAGATAAAGCAAGATTTGACAGAGGTCGTGCTAAAATCCACCGTTTTCAACGAGGCGACTTCGTCTTAATAAAGAACAACCCCAGAAATCAGACTTCCCTCGATCTAAAATTTAGTGTTCCTTATGAAGTTCACAGGGTTCTTGAAAATGATCGCTATCTCGTGAAGAAAGTGCTCGGGCATCATGGGCGAGCTCGTAAGGTAGCACATGATCAGCTACGGCGCGCTCCTCAACCGGGAGATACTGCCCAGGCGGCCGTGTCGCCACCAGACAACGGGGAAACTGCATCCGCCACCGTTACGGCGGCTGTAGTACGTACCGTTACACACCACCAGAATCTCGAGTAATGTAGAATTTTTGTGGAAGTCCGGTGAGGATATTTCATTTTAATTTATTAATAAATTTAATCAGTACAGATATCAGGCTGTAAAAAGAAAATTAAAAAAAAAAAAAAAAAAAATAAGAAAAGAAAAAAAAAAAAAAAAAAAAAATAAAAAAAAAAAAAGAATTATAAAATAAAAGATGCTATTGGCGTGTGGAGCCGTCCAATAAGCCACTGATTGCCTGTCCCGAAAGAATTATGGTCCCCTGTGTACCACGGCGTACAAGACCGCCCAGAGCACAGCATCGACCTGACCAATTATCCTTTAGAGCCTCTGTTCTACACAGCATCGACCTCTCATCCACCTATCCTTCCCTTTCGCGACAGTTGATAACGATCTTATTACAGTCGTTACATTGTCTCATGTGAACTGTACTTTCGAATGAAATTACACATGTACAAAAAGTCATGTTTGGTCTGTGGTCACGTGGAGTGGGCAGCCAATGATAATAAATGCACTTATTGTTCCCAAAGTCAAGGTCTGTATGTACTTTGAAAGTATCTACCCAGACTTACAATAAAATTTTCAGAATTACAGATGGAACAAGAGCGATGCAGGGCACGCATCGCATATCAGTATGGCCGTGTCGCCGCAGCGATTATTTGGCTTTTAAGTTAATTTAAAATCGTAATACAGAATATCAATGTTTATATTTAGAAAACAAGTTTGTTAATTCATAAATTTAGTTTTAATTATTACAAGAAATGATTATTCTCAACTACATGATTAAAAGTTATATTTACTAGAAAATCAATAACTAAATCCTCATCTTAATTTAGTAAATAAATACTACCTTAATTTAAACATTTAATTTATAAGTAACAGTTTTGTCTCACTAATACAGTCTCAATACGATTCCGTATTTCAACCATTTGAATGTCCATACTGTTGTTTATTTGTGAAATTGCTTAAATAACTTTTGAATAGTTTTAAAACATTACTATAAAACTATGGAACTTTTATAACAATTTATTCGTTAATAACAACTTTAATTCATTTATAATAGTTTCATAAAGTTGTAAAAATACTGTGCGATTATAACGCCACCTGGCGATTCAGTGGCGTTGACATTGTAAACTGTGGTACCTAAAGTGCTTTAAGTGGAGAGCTCACTTCGAAGCTGACTTTTGAAGAGAAAACATTGTAAGTAAAATCTGTGTCAGTTCAATAAAATAATTATTATTTTTGTACTTTGTTTATTTGTTACTTTTTGCCTAACCCTTATGTTTAAAGTATTGATGTAATCCCTTCGTTTATAAGAATTTAATAAAGTATTTGGTTGTGTATTTTGTAAATAAAACTTGCTTAAGTATATTGGAACTGATGACTTTAGGGTCAGCAGTTCTGTTTCCTTTTTTTAATAACTTTGAAGTGAAATTTCCGATATATATGTTTAATGAACGCTTGTATTAAAATTTATGATAATAGATGCGCGACTTAAATAACACAACTCATAAATATTGCAAAAATGAAATGCGACCGAAACAAACATGGAAAATAATACATAACACGTTAAAGCATTTAATAATGTAGGTTATGTTGCACACCTCGACCTCAGCGCCATCTGGAATCATTCCCTACTATGGGGATTCTGCTGCACCTATATATCGCGTATAAGACGGCGCTTAGGATTCAATACCGTGTAATCAATATCTCGATCAGTGGTTGGTCGGCGATTTATCTCACCGTACTTCATTTCTTGCACAAGGAATAAAATTATACAACAATTTATTATAAGTAACCGGGTCTCCAACTAAAAACCTAACTCAGTAAACCGCAGAGGAATTCCTCGCTCGTGTCAAGTGCTGCGATTTAAAGTTTTTATTTGCCTCCAAGCCGCCTGCCCGTTCAGGAATTACGTGAACACAACAACTCCTAAAAGTACTTGACGATTATATCACAATGTTTCTAAGTATTTAAATATAAATATGCGCTAATTGTTGTTGTAAATTAATTTGTGCATAAATACAATAGTGTTTCGTTTTCACATATTTTTTTCCGAATCGATTTCGAATACATCATGTTCGCGCTAGTCTTCTATGTCAAAAATGCACCGATTGATTTTCCGCCACAGTTCTCAGAATGATGACCGATTTTATTCGTTCAATTTTTGTGCCTTGCCTTTTTTATGACTTTGATATTTCAGTGAGGACCCAGAATTGAGGGAAGCCAACATTAAATATAAGTCAATTAGCGTAGTAAGACGATCGATTTGTGTCTTTTGCTATAAAGATTTTAAGTCCAAATTCTTTCTAAGTAAACTATGAAATCGTCCAAGAAAAAATAGCAATCACGGACACAGTGTCGTTATTTCAAAAACTACCAACAACAAATGTTAGCGTGAACAACTCTTCCGCTCACGCCGCGAAGAAGTGTCCCAAGCCCGTGCCTCCCTCTGGCGACGGTTGACTGTCACGGGTGGGTTTTTGCGGCGGCGGCGTTGGGCTTCCGTGAACCCATTCGCATTCCGCCGCCAGCGCCCGATCGCAAATTAATTCCAAACCACAAAAACTGACGCGACAGACGCGCTCCTATTTATGTCCGCTTTCACGAACGCTCCGTGTGATTTACTCGCACTATGGGCCGCGCTTATGTCTTTCTAAAAGGAAATGTTAAAGTTACAATCAACAACGTCTTATTACTTTTTTAGTCGAACTTTAGGATTAAAGCCTCATAATTGTTTGGAGCACAATAGAGTTGGCTATCTTGAAATTCATCAAGCAACTTCGCCGGATTTTGCTGATTTATTGTAAAATTCAATTAAGTATATAAATTGATCGGACGACTATAGGCTAAACTTTACTAAAAACATAACTTTAGGGTGAAATATGAAAAATAAATTTAGACCACCCGTAACAATTATATTTGTAATCGCATTACTGACAATATTCTTATGGCATAGCTCAAACAAAATAACTTACTGTTTGATCTCTGTCTTGTAACGTGTGATTTCATCACTTTGTCTAAATTGTCGTTTTTCTAAAGACTAGGCTGCATGTCATATGAACCTTTGCCTGTTCGAAAGGACGAATGTAAAAGTTAACTTCATTTGGTCGTACTTGTCATTTGAGATTGCCGCCGGTTCGATCGAATTGACATTGGATAAATTAGTTTTTGTGGATCCATTATCTTCGACGTAAGTAGTTGCTTGGTTTTGTTCATGCCAGTGGTTGTTTTGTTTACGTATTTCGTTTTCTTATCAATTCGCTTTTTTACAGTGCATGGCTAGAGGTTGAAATCAGAACACGTTCCTGGTCGTATTATTTGTGATTGCTGTCTGGGAAACTCTGTGCTGGATTTGTTATCCCTCGTGGTAAGATCCTTTGTTATTTTCACTGGTTTCCTACTAAAATTGTAAAAGACTTGCATTGTGAATGTATTTAGAAATCTCACATGAAGGTAGGTTGAGAATTTATTGTCTCGTGTTTCTAAGTATGGTTTTTCGAATATCACGGGTGGATGCTGAAGGCATAGGTGGCTGGCAAGCTGGTCTGAGCTGCTGCTCTATTAAATATTGTTTTTTACCTCCAGTTGGTAAGTTTTTCACATCTTATAATTGTAGGTGGATTCAAATCCCTGCCTTTGTTTGTTCTACAATTTAGTGTTTGTTGGCAGGAGGTCTCCTATATACCCCCAACAGTGTGGCTGTACACACTACACTTGGCCTGACTTTCTCTACTGGTTCTGAGTTCAACGCTGACCTGTGCACACAGGGCAGATGTCTCTGCGGTGACATAGATTTTAAATAACTACCTGATTGGACTTTATTTTTTTAATTGAATTGCATAACTTTCATAATCTTAAATTAATTTAATTATCTAACCTTTTTATGGTCGCACAAAGTAATGTGTAGGTCCTATGTACTCACGACTCCCTGAGATACTTGATTGTATTTATTACAACAGTCTGTTCCTAACAGACAAGGCGCCCAACTCATTATTATTACTATATTTTAAAATATATTGTATCTGAGCTAGTCCAGGGATTGTAACATTAAACTGAAGGGATGAATACAACTTCTTAACTGCTAATAAATCTTTTATTAAATCTTACCATTATTATCTAGACACCCACTATAAAAACGTTACAGTCTCTACTCGCCATGAGCAGTGCAATAATTAGCAACGCTCGGCCCCGATCGGTTGCCAAGAAGGCGTTATGGCGCCCGCGCGGACGAGCTGATAATGGAAATCATCGGCGGAGAATGGTGGCGATGCTATAAGCACCCTAAGCCGTGGTGTTAGTAGCACTTTTAGCTTGAGGGTGCCTCGAGAATCTGCAGTGTCAACTGGAAGTGAATCTAGTTTCCTTATTCAAAAGTGACACGTGTCTCTACTGGGTTCAATATGTATCGGATGTCTAATGGGACTAATGGGCTTCTACAGATTGTTTCTGTTGTAAACATTGCTCATTATTATCTAGTTAATTATTACAAATGATTTTATATAATAAACTTAAATCACAGATAATAAATTCCAGATAATTTGCGATGATGTGGAGCAATACAATTCAAAACTTCCAAGAAGTTTGAAATGATCATTACAATCCATGATCACTTACACACCGCTGACAAGTAATTAGGAAACTGCATCGCACAAAATACAAATATTCAATTTTTACCCTAAAAAAACCTTTCCGTAAAACTATCAACATTTGAAAGTAGTATCAATGGTTACCCGTGTTAACTCATAAAACAACTCAGTCTCTCTCAAGACCATGAACGCTATAAAAGGTTCGAAACGTCCATCGGGAACTCAAAATCAAAATAAAACGCAATAAAATCGGTAAAATAGTTTCATTTAACCATCTCTTTCATTTAACAATCCACGTTGTGGTTTAGCACCGTTCCCTACCTAGTCCGCGTGGCCAGCGGTCGTGGTCAGACATGGCGAGCCACGACCAGCGCCACCGCCGCGCTTTCTGCCAACTGAACTCGCCTGGAATTCTTACGCTTTCCCTGGTCACGGCGCCTTCAACCGTCTCTTCTTGGGCATCGCGACGCCGAGTAGTAAGGCAAAAGGATTCCTCTAGGAGTAGCGCCCGAACATAATTCTTTGCATATGACAAAAATCCTCTTCTATCTAATTATGTACGAGTTTTTATACTTCCCGCTTTCTTGTTCCTGTGATGCGAGCAAATCTAATTAGAGATTGAAGTGGTCATTACTTAATTAAATTTCGATGAAACATCGATCAAGTTCTACGCAAAAGCTTTTTATTCTTACTAATATGTTGTTATTTACTACTACAAACGTACATTAATATTTATATACGTCAATATAGAATTTGCATAAATTTGCAAAACGCCGACACGCAAATTAAGTAAAGCGACCAGTTTCGATTGGCAAAGTTGTATTCACAATTTTTGTTTTTCTTAAGTCTTCCCTATCCGTATATGGGTCAAAACAAGTGTTTTCAGCAAGTGACTGTTCTAAGCATAAAAACCGATTTTGTTGATTCTTTTTTTGTTGGAAAGGAGATATCCCAGGTGGTACCATGATAAGGATACTAGATCTGATGATGGCATCCCAGAGAAACAGAGGGCAATCCTCAAACGTTATAGGTATTAACAATGTTTTTAGTGGTCGGTTTGAAGTCGGTTTTTTTGTACCCGAGTCCGACTCGCACTTGGCCGGATTTTTTTCTAAAACTTAGTATATTACAGAATCCTAAAGTAATTATTAGCAAAACACATAAAGCAATCCCAGCCAGGCCCGCTCGGTACACAAAGTAATTCTCCCACTAAAAAGGTTAATGAAGTGGCGAACCCGCGATAATATATCTGATATGGTCTTCCCTCATGAATAAATAAGCCGTAAAGTGCATTTGCGAGATTTGCGAACCAATTAATTGGCGGCACTCGTACGTCTGCTCGCGCCCCGACGGTCTAGGGATGGGACGGCTCTCACTCGCCACGGACGAAATACATATTCTTATGATCGTATTTCGCGCAGTTAAACAGTACGCTCTCCTTAATGCGTAACACAGCATCATTGATTCCATACCAGGTCATAATTATGTATACACGTAACTCTTTCTCTTGTTCAAATATATTTTTCTCTCCCTTTCGTATAATGCTTAACATTCCGTCATAAAATAAAATTTAATTCGTTACATTTTACTGTCACACGTCCATTTATCTGATGTAAGGATGTAAATAAAGAGAGCCATCGTGCTTTTGTTATAATATGATTTTTCATAAATTGCTTAATAAGATAAAACATCCTCCATCTCTAGATCGTTATTTAAACCCAATTGCCTATAACATCTTGAGTAATTACCGACTGGCATAAAATGAAAGAGTTTCAAGTTGCAGAAAGCACAGCTAGTTTAGGAACTGTATCGCAGTAAAATGATGAAAGAGTTGGACATCAACGTTGGGGGGGCGCCTTAACGATCCGCCGGCCGAGAGCCGTTTCGGGTTCCGCGGCCCTCGTAGTCACGACCGCCGAATAGACTCGACTGCTTTCCCCAGAGTTTGTCTGAACCAACGCGGCGGCACATAAACATAAACACAACCCGTGTCCGAGTTCAAGAAAGCAGTGGACAACTACTTGTTGGGAACAATTTCACATGAATTGTCTTAATTTTTTGCTTTGCTACCATTCAAAAATTCTTTGAAAGTAATCACAGGACGGTTTACTAGTAGTTGCTTCGACCAGTGGGATAATATTCCCCGTCTTTCGATCACGATCACCTCCACGAAGCATCTGAAGATTCCTAAGCACAGTGGATGTTTATTATTTGTGGCCCTGATCGCCGGCAATGCCCGGACGCATCTGCACGCGACGCCCGAGATGTGCATCTGTGCCTTGTTTATGGGCCCTGGCGCCGCGACTGCTCCATCCACAGTCGTTAATTCGTTACCGGCCCGATCTAGATTTATACAAGTATTTAACGATCGGCCTCCATTGAAATATACAGCACTCGTTCCACTCTACACCGGGTCTGCAGTCTAAGTATTCATTAAATGTATGCGGTGAGCTAAATCTGTCTGCGTTAATAGCCCGCAAAAAATAATCAAGTAACAACGCAATTTAAAGCTGTAAGCGAAGTTTTATTTCCCTTCAAGTTTTGGTGGAATGCGTAAAACTTAAAGGCACGGAACCCTTAAGTTGAACTTTTAGTTTACTTTACTATTCTTATGTCTTTTTGTTATATCTATCGTTGACTATTAGCAAATACCTTTCATTCATATGTAACATCGTTGTTATACATAACCAACGCAATTTAGCTGTTTGTGATAATATAAAAAATCTCAAGTGACATTTCATCTATCTCGGCTCTACAGGGAAACCAGTTGGTGTCACCCTTCTGGAGACATTAAACGCTACGTGAAGTCGCGGCGTGTCGGTGTCATCAAACGAGCTAATTGCCTCTAATTGCGTCGCCCGCACCGCTGCCCCCCACACCGTCACACCGTCCAGGTTACTTCTGTAATAATGTGATACTCAAATATTGCACTATTTTCTTGACCTACTGGTGTTTTAAGTTAGATCATTCATTGTTGACATGTCGTTTAGGTTAACACACCACCTTTCCTGCTATCGTCTTTCTTTCTTCTTTCTATCGCCCGACATATACAGACAAAGCATTCACACGATGCTATAAATCAGATTTACTTTATTTTCAGAAATGTAAGTACACTGTAAGTTTCTCAAGTGTTTACAACATTAATTCTTGTCCTTTCAAGTAGTTCAAATATAAGTCTGTATTCCTTCAAATTAAAATTTTAGTTGCCTTTTCTCATAGTCACCTCAAATAGATGTGCGATCCACCTTATAGCGTTGACCAATATCTCATAACGCGAGGGTCAAATGGAAAAGTACAGCAATAGCAATGCTCATATTCATATCGTTGAGAGCTATCGGGACTTTTCATATTTTCATATCGTGCTTACACCGCCGCGAGCAACAATGTACGAAGAACGCTTTTAGCGACATGAGCGCGCAATGCGCAAGTATTTCCTGCGGAGCGGCAGGCAGTGGTTTTTGTCCAAGCAGCCGACAGCCGACAGTAAACGACAATTGATGTCGGCCGTACCTGGGAATTTTCTCGTGCTCCGAACTAAATGTGTCAACAGTCAACACTATATAAACCACACGACATGGCCTCTATTTCCGGTCGCTAAGGTTGACGCTTGCTGTTTGATACTTGAAATCAGAAGCTGGCACTTACAAAGGAGCCCCACTTAATTGCGGTAATTATACGAATTATTGCAAATTTTTAAAATATGGGTGAGTACACGTGAGTACACAAAGAATTGCATCACCGCAATACTTTATGAAACAGCAAGCACGGACAAAATTGAAATTATTGTATGATACAAAAATAAACATTTTAAAGTAACTTACGAATAAAACTTTTTTTTTATATGAAAAGTTCTTTTCTACAACTTTTAATCTTTCATCTTAAATTTTAAATTAGCACTATAAAAATTTAAATTTAAATTACGAATGTTAGTGAGTCGTTTGCTCATATACTCGTACTGAATGCGCGAAAATGGAATAATTTAAAATCACTAAATAGGTCTGGGCTATATTTATAAATAAAAGTATCAAGTTTCATTTCATTCGATCCCCGCTCGCTCGATTCGATTCGATTATCTCTTGCTCAGCGGTGAAGGAGAACATCGTGAGGAAACTGAATATTTTCGAAATAATAACAAACACCCATGTTTCGAAGATATGTGATGTCCAATACAAAGTGGGATCGCGTGGGGTACTATGCTCTAATACCCTCTAATGTACAGAGGATGCCTTTGCCCAGCGGTGGGATATATACAGGCTGTTCTTTCTATTTTTTTAAGTACAACAATATGAAAGAAATATTTTAAGAGAATCAAACATTCTTTCTTCTTAACTATTGCGACAATCACCACACCCGAAAGCTCAAAAGAAGACTCGATAAAACATTAAGTATGAAAAGAAAAGTTATCCAACAAGTGATTAACATGCAATCAAATACGCATTTAAGAACTTAGGTCTCCCTATGAAGTTTTAACTGTTTCACTGACTAGGACCATCCTCAATGTCGCGAATTATGACTGAAGTCGCTATTGTTGACAGCAAGCAACTGTTCTTGTAATAAATACCTAATTTTCATTACCAATGTTGCAATGGCAACCTATGCAACATGTATGCTTTTACAATATTTAGTATAATGTTATAATGAAGACTCAGAACTTAGTGTATGGGGACAACTGCAACTAATTTAAAAACATTCATCCACTTTTTAATAGGTACACTATTCGAGATAGACATAGCTATATAATATGCGAGTATGTTTGAACTTGGTAAGCGAGCAGGTGGTTCACCTGATGTTAAGTGATCAAAGAACTGGCCGCGGTTACCTCCCTCGCACAGGTTGAAAGAGCGTCCGGCGGTGAGTTGAAAGTGGCGCTTAATCGTTAATTGGCTCCGCTGGGCCGTGACACGCGGCTAATTAAAATGCGCCCGAGCGCTTGCAAATAACGCTTATCGCAGCCTCCCGCGAGGGATTCCGCGGATGGGACACTTTTTGCGGTTGCAGCTTATAATCGCTCCGATATTGGCAATAAACGTTCCGCGCTCAGACCGCCCCGGCCACCCACCGCGCTCCCACTAGGGATGCGCCACTGCCACTCTCAGCCGCCGCGACACCGCCGATAACACTAAACTATCAGAACAATCGCCTCAAACAATTGGACAAGGAAATATAATAATGCTATGCTTTGCTTACTTGAACACTGGTGAAAATACTTATTAATTTGATATGTACCTGCGATGCAACATGAACATAATTAAAAACAAACACATGGAGGAAACATTAAGGAACGTGTTAAACGTTCTTAATTTACTTATTTTCTTCCCAAATGTTGATGTTAGAGGGCGTAATGCTCAAATTTAGATAGAATCAGTGGGAATCACTAGACCCGGACGTTGCGTCGGATTTATGAAGAGAAGGTTACACGGACGCCTTGGAAGTGATAGATCCTCATTAACGCGCCCGCGCTTTAGGATTCCTTAAATTTCCTCTAACGACTGTTGTTGGCGGCTGGTGATTGGAAAATAAGTGTACACACAAACTAAACGGGGAGGTCCGATGCCATTTCAACATATAACATGATAATACTCTCTGTGGTGTCTACGTACTTGTAAATAACATCACTTCTACATTAAGTTTTAATTTTTGTTTGTTTTATTTTTGGCGTGCAATAAAGTATATTCATTCATTCATTCATTCAATAATAAAATACAGGGAGGCTTTTTAAGTGTATCCATTTTTTTTATTAAACTCTAGACATAAATGATGTTAAATAAAAAATAATAAATATTTACAATCACTCGTAATTAATTAAATATATTCATTTGAACTTATTTCAAAAAGTGCGTGATTTATGGGCAACTCATTTATTTTACCCGCGATCATTTATGAATTATACATAACTAACACGCACACAAGTTCGTTTCAAAAGTATACGACGCATTTATGAATGACTACCGCATTGTCAACAAGTTCTGTTTTTTAGGGAACGGAATGGCAATTTTTTTAAAAAAAGTTTTTGTTTTTATTTCAATAAACGATTATACTACCGAATCTGAACCTCTTGTGTGAATTTGGGCACCTTTAGAAAAGCCACCCTGTATATGTATAGTTACCAACTAGTTTCGCTATCATAAAAATAATGTCATTTTGTATGGAAAACTCTGATATTCTGTTTTCTTCAATATTCTGCAAATGTAATTGTAATGAATAAATAAACATCGACATGAGAATAGAACGCGAGTTCAGGCCCCGAGCGCGGACTATGCCACATTGGACATACTCTTAAAATATGCATCAAAAAGCACTTTATAGCCGCAAGAAAAGAAACTGTTAAATTTTATTAGTGACATTCGAGGGCGGGCATTTATCTGTGCCCTCGTTGTATTCGTTTTTACCGTTGGGACCAAATCGTAATACTAATTAGGGGACGTGCCATTGGCGCGACGTCAAACGACCATATTGCATAGTGCGCAGACCGCATGCGCATGACCAACAGCCAAGTAAGTAAGACGCGGACGAAATTCCTCTCGAGAATCAAACGCCTGTAGTCTCTCACGTGAACATCAATTTGACTGTTAAGATAAAAAGGTAATAGCGGGAATAATGTAACTGCATTTCCAATCGTGTGACGTGTTTTGAATTAATTTCATTCCGAGCATGTGTCACATGGCTTAAAGTCGAAACATGCCTTCAATTTTAATCCAACATATTCGGTTTATTTTCGATGTCAACAACTCTACATTATTTTTCGTTGATATCCCCTTTTTAAACATAGGTATTGATAAATTTCATTACACTGAATATAAACTAATTTGGTACCGACATCGCATATTTTACACGCTTATGTATTAAATGTACTCGTAGCTAAATGTGAAATTAAATCATTTATTGTAAAGAGAATAAATGCATCATTAACAATTTTAATAGTAACATTTATGAATGAATGAATTAAGTACTAATTGTTGGCTCTAGGAGCGGACGCGCGGGGCCAATGCGGCAATTAGTCGTAGCTAGTTAATACGTCATCAGAACACGATTCACAGACTGATAATGGGAAGGGGAGCAATTGGTGGCACCAGCTTCTGATATAATCTACTTGCTAAAGTTCTGCCGTACCAGGATTCAATGCACTTTTCACCCGAGCGGACCTTAGTTGGGCGCGTACAACTTTTAAATTAGACAGATTGTATATACAAATAACCACAGGCCTTTTCACCTGTGTCGGATGTTTTAAACGGTGACACCGCATCACGGTGACGACACCTGCGTTCGTGGCTG